TACCAAGGGGTTCCTGCTCCAATATTACATAAAGAAAGATTAAACTAAACTTCAGTTGATGAACATTTTGTTCAGAGGTGGGTATCTTTTGAGCGACAAAAAGTTTTTGAGTCAAGATATGGAGAATTCGCAAAAATTCTTATATTCATTTGAAATTGAATCTGCACTCATATCAACAGGTATTTCCCAATGAACTCGACCTGAAGATAACTCCAGAAACAAATATTCTCTAATTTTCCTTGAGATTTTGCATTAGTCGTATTTTTTTATTTCCCATGCCTACCGACGGGGAAGTATTGTAATCGCGTAAATGAGATATTATGTTTTTTGGATGTTGTATGACATTTACATAACGAAAAGCCATGACACTCGTTTCCGTCGGTTTGTCTGCCTGTCTGTCGGTTAATCCCATAACTGCGAGTAACTTGAGAAATGCTGCTCGGATTTCCATGAAATTCTTACACAATGCAAAACCTAGCTCTTAAAACTTAGAAAAATATTCTCAGCAGATGAATTGGTGAGTGTTCTGATAATACACGTATTCTTTCTACGTCACAGCATAGTGTTTCCTATCCTCTACCCATGCTGCCACGCCTGACCGGGTTAAGTATCAGGAGATGCGACGTTTCCAGATGCAGTACCGGTAGGATAGGGAAATAATGTCTATAGATTAAATGTATGGACATGTTTGACTGACTTTTCCCTCAGTGGGTCTATTTTTTAATGAACATAATCCTTTAGGAACTGATAACGACGTTGCGTGGAAAGTGCAGAGTCAACCTACTTGAGGCTATTTTTTATTCAATGTTTCATCGAAAGAATGCAGAATCTACAGACCGATCCAGTTATCCATGTCTAAATATAAATTAATACTTTTTGAGTTCTTACAAATTAAAGATTAGTAGGTGCTTAGAGACCGTACATTTTCAAATACAAAAGACTGTCCTACTAAGAAGTTCTGATTTCTTTTCTTTTTCCGTCGTCAACAGTAGCATATCTTGTTCAATGTTTTAAAAAAGGCTTAGTGTTTAGTCCACTTAGGAGAAAGTAAAAAATGACTAATCAAAAATTTACGTTCCTTTTTAGGCCTTCTGAACGAATAACCTGTGTCCAGACATATTGAAACATGAGTTCTAGATCATGTCTTTCATATTCCTGTGCGAAAAAACGCATAATATGTTGGGTTCGATTCGTAACATATGTTACCGGTAATCTGTATAATTCAGGTATTCTATACAATACCTATTCAATATATATATATATATGAATAGTATTATCCATTACAAACTTTAGCTAGGTAATGAATACTCGTACAATTCCTAGCGATGTATAGAGTATCTGCTGTTCCACCGACAATGTGTAAAATAAATAGATATTGGTCTAAATTTAACAATGTTAACCGGCATACCTAGAAAATGACGTGCAAATGACACAAGTCATATTATTTAACATCAACTTTATTAAAATTAACACTTAAAGTGCTCTTTAAAAATAAGCTTTATGAAAAGGGTACAAAAAGCACCTTTCTATTACTACAGTAAAAATCACAGTAAAATTAACGTGGAACTAAAAATTATTCTGGCTATAAGTAACATAATAATTTTCTTTGCTTACAAGTACGTTCGTAATACGTATAAAAAAACTTAAGAAACAAAACAATTCTGTAAAAATATAGGGAGTGTAGGTCGACTGCTCAGTCAACATTTTATTAGAATAAAGAAAATATTCTTACATGTATGTACTTAAGAAACAAAACAATCCTCTGAAAATAAGTACGTTTACTGCATAGTCAAAATTTTAATTAAGTACATACGTGAAATTATTTATTTTTACATGAGGGACTATTGTGACATTTTGAAGTGCGCAAAATCTTCTTTGTTCTCGTCTTTTACATACATTACCGGCTGCGCATTCGGTATTGTATAGAATTCCTAGGCAAAATATGAAACAAATAATATTTCATGCATTACCTACACGTTTAAGGTACTCTATACATTACCTAGATTTTGTATAGAATAGCGGATTATATGTTACAGAATGCCGGATTATACAGAATCCCGATAACACATATAATAAGCTATTAGAATTTCTAAATTGCAAAGTATTTCACCCATATAGGGCCGAATTTTATAACAAAGTAACCACAGTGTAAAAACGGCTGGCAGTAAAAAAATAATTACGTATTATTAATGAATTATATGACTGTAATTTCTTATTTGAATTCCACCCACACGTGGTACTACTTCCGATGACTAAGAACCAGACAGCCATGTGCGTTCGGAATGACCGAATATACTTCATAGTTCATTTCCAAATATGACTTTTGAACAAACATATCAGCAATTGGTCCAAAAATCTGATTCACGTGTTCAGGTGCAAACCAATGTCGAAAGAGGTGATCAAAAGTCTCATATCCTCCAAGCTTTCATTTACATATTCAAATTGAAAGCATCTCCGGAGTCCTATTCCTAGCATGCTTCATAAATACGAATACGCAAACGTATATACGATTAGTAGGCAGAGTGGAAAAAAGCTTGTAAAAAGCAAGTAATCTCTAAAAACCACAAGTACGAGTTATTACCATAGAGCACTCAATGTGAAAATACCAAGTGGCACTATCAACAGGGATTAGTTAAATTTTTATTAAAGATAATAGCTTTATTATTCATTTGTTGTAATGTAGCAAAAATGACACGTAAGGTGCTATCTATTACCATAGTCGATCACAGCGAGTGTGAAAACAGCAAGTTGTCTGATGGAACTGTATCTCAGTTCGCATTGTGATCCGGATCACGTGGCAGCTAAATGCCGCCAAGCCAAGAAAATAAGAATATGAGAAGCCAGAAAAAAATGTGTGTCGATGATTTTTGACTGCTAAACTGCTGGTATTGTAAGGAGCAATGTATTGAAGCCTCGGCGGCAAAAACTAGTAAAATACGTTAATCAATGCAAGCGGTAGTTCTTGAAACACGAATGAAAGTGCCTCTCAAGCTCTTTTTGTGCAAAAATGGTTATTCTCTGTCCCATCCAAGGTGCACGCCTATGAGCGATGAGATCAATACACAGAGGCACGTCATCACACTGGCTTTTGATTGGTGCTAACTGCGGGTGTGTTGACTGTTGACAGTGACGTAGGCAGGCAGAATGTATGAAAAGCTCATACAAGTTGCGCAATGTTTCTGTTTGTTATTTCTAAATCGCGGATCGCGTGGGTCGTGAGAAAATATTCCACAGTCGAAAATAACTTCGTTCCTCGCTATGAAATGATTTTAAAACGGAACACGTTGAGGATGGTTTCATATTTGACACACAAAACTTAGCGGAATGGGGGTTCTTTTAATTCACTCTTCAAACTGAAAATGTGAAGCATGAATATTGCACAACATTAGCATTATAACAAGTGTAAAGTATAATGCGTTGGTCTCGCTGCTTTTTCTTATACTCCAGTGCTTGTAGTACTTGTTTCTAAAACTCTTCGAGTGGTTAGTATCCTGATTTTGCTTGAATGACCACAATATTTAAAATAAATGAATCAGCGTATGCAGAAACGACACATGTCCATTTTTGTACAAAATGGGGTTATACCGGAAATCACAAATATATAGATATTTACGTCGAACTACGAAGAAATAACACGTGTCCGTGTTATACTTCAAGAGAAAACGATGTGTAGCTTGGACAATAGTCTGCAGAAACAGATTTAATAAACTGCATCTCGGTACAATCTTATCCCGTCTGGTGTGGTACTGGCCTCAGTGTTGTTTCAAAGCGGCGGTTGCAACTATATTTTAATGAGACTCTATTTACTCCGACGAGGGCTTCATAAGATCGAAAATCACGTTCGTTTGATCTGTCCATTATATGAAGTTCTCGTCTCGTAAATAAAGCTGTGCAGATGTTTAAAAAAAGTTGCAACAGCATTACCTTTTTTGTTTCGAATTGGAACATAAAAGGAAACAACCCTAATGTTCGAATTGGAAGAACAAACATAATCGGTGAAAACTCATTTACCTTACATGACATCATCGACTCTGATTCTGCCCTTCTATTCTTTGTATGTAAAATAAGTACATATATTTCTTGATACTTGTGTATTTCTCAGAATTTTGAGAATCTATTTATCACGCTTCTATTATCTTGTAAAATGGAAGCGAATGGAATAAATTATTCTATCACTTTCAGTTATCTTGACTGCAGCTTTAATTTGCTGAATATTGATAATTTTAAAGTTTATTATCAAGCTCGTAGATTCAGCCAGATGACCCATTGCTTGAAACAACAAATTTGCCAATCTTCGTACTTCGCAGTCGAGTCAATTATCCCTGGGCTTCACTTTTTTTTAATGGATAAAGCAAGCATAATAGTCGTGCTTTAGTAATGCTTTTCTTTTAGAATGATAGATCTCATACTAAAAATTCCTTTAAGGGATATATTGACTAATGCTGGGCCTACATCAGCAACTACTGTTTACTATTCTAGCTGAAGATAGCCAAGCTAATACTATATTCGTGCGTCCAAAAGTTATCCGAGATACAATGAGATATCGTAGCCTCATCTGTGATCATAGATGTCCCTCTAATTACTATATATACTGTGAAGATTCTGTTGTCTCTAGATGGCGCTGTCTATATGCATATACACGCATATGGGAGACTACCAGTTCTGTAGACGCGCGCATATAGCATAAGGTACGTATACCCTAATCAATGTTAGCATACAGGATATTTCCTAAGTATGGCCCAAGAATTCAAATATACTGTCTTTTGACGATATATTTAGTATAGATCGAATAGTTTTAAAGATGTCTAAGTGGTTATTGCCACCAAAATATTTTCATCGCATGTAGAAGTCTTTCAGTTGTCATCAAATGACAAAACATCCTTAGTGTAGTTCTGAGAAATGAGATAGTCAATGACCTACATATGTGATAAGCATAATGCCCTTTTTGGCCCAGAAAATGTGAACGTGCTTCGAAAACGTAGAGTATATTTATTACTTACCCCTGGTACTTCTTTTCTTGGCGTCTTACTAAGAGTTTCAGATGAATATATCGGAATATCTAAGTCGCTGGAGTTGTTTGAAGAAAAACTTGAGGATCGCAGAATGCCATGTCTTGGTGCTGATGGCACCTACAGAGAGAAAGAACGTAATGATGAAATAAATCTGTAATCAAGCGCTTCGATGTTTGAACATATTTTTAAAATATGGGATATCTATGTTTAAACATGATCGTCCGTCCGACCAAAGCCAGCCAACCATGGACTGTTGTTTCGTGTTTTTTTGACTAAGTCCTTGGATGTTCTAGACTTCAGTCTCTCGAACAATGAACGAAAGCAGAGCAACTATACACTATAATAAAATACCAAAATTGATGACAGTAGCGAAACTCATCGAACGCCACTGCTATTAAGCGGAGGCCTTCGAAAATGCGGCGCTTTTTTGTGAAATGTCGGTAAGCTTCGCTGTAATCAAAAGGTACAGCGTCACAGCAGTGGCGCACGATGACTTCTGCTACTGTCATCAATTCTGGTATTGGACTATAGCCAAAGTGCGAAATTGCATATCGGAATAAGAGCAAGTAGACCACATCTATTACACAGCTAAAATCGTCGCCGTCTAGCGGTCACGTGGTGACTGGACCCCAATTGCGAACTGAGATCTATACAGGGTGTCCCAGTTAAGGATACTATATATACAGCTTAGGTTTAATTAGGAAAAAGCTGCATTCTTTGGAGCGTATTTACATGCCCTTGAGAAAGTAAATTTCATGGCTTACTGAGCTATTTAGGAAAGACCAAAATTTAGCAAAATCGTTTTTATTTTTCCCGACTCTATTTAAATATCATAAAACTAATGGAACTTTTTCATTGGCAGTTTTTAGACACTACATGATGGTGTTTTTAAATTTTGTGCCAAACGTTTCGTTTTTGTGAAAGGATCATCAACTTTATTTTTTGTATGCTCCGATAAAAAGTACAGCCTGAATCTGATAGCATTTTTTATACGAGTTCCACGATGTATCACATGTTACATTTGTTGTCTTAGTTATAAAGGAAAATGTTCTTTTATTTTTTGATTCAAGTACCTATTCGCAGCGAACACATTCTTAATGTAAGATTATGTTATTGCTGATAGATGCATATTACATATTACATAAGAATGTGATGAGGTAAAATTTTATAAAACGATGCTTATTATAAATCTGATATTCTAACAGTATAATTCAAAACAACACGTAACATTTCTGGTGTAATCATAATACATACAAGTATGCTGATAAACTTGGGTGTCAATAAAACCTCCAATAAAAAAGTCCAGAGGGTGTGACTCTGATATACTTCGCTGGAGGTTTTTTTAGGTCGCAGATTTTCTTGAGCTAAATAATGAGTATTGCGGCGATGAAAGCTACCACTATTAGTGACCATACTCTCGTCGAACCATATTCCTTTTGAAGGGAAATTAAACTCTTTACACGATCGTGTGTACCAGTCACAAAAATGTTGGCGCCGTTCGCTATCCCCTGGTCTAAGTCCTTGGCAAACCTTGAGTTTATAGGGGTGATATCTATTTTTACGCAAAATAAATTAGGCTGTGGATTTGACTACTCTCACATTTTTCTCAATTTGCATAGTTGATATCTCTAAGGAAATGGACTTACGTGGCTGCCTTCTTTCGAGAAATTTAGCAAGATACATTTCTGCAGTATTTTTAGTATTTCTGGAGCACAAAATATACGAGGACGGTTCAGATATGATGGAGACAAATGCTGTAGATGGCGCTTATGTATGTCTTGAAGGTCGTGGTTTGAGTATGTGATAGCTGCGTCCCTTACGAACAGTGTGGCACAGCTTTCGTTATAAGCGCATGTTTCACGTGCGTGCTAACGACCAAGAGTGAAGGTCAAGTGCCGACCGCCGTTGCGTAACGTATTGTCATTCGTTTTTTAGTGTGGGAAAGCGTTAAAAACACGGCAATTTTTCTGGGTTTGCGAAATCAGTTCTGTAGTGAGTGCTTGAGTAGGGCTGCTGTGTTTAAATGGGCCATAGAATTCAAGGATGGCCGCGAAACCGTCGAGAATGAGCCGCATGATTGTCGACCGCGAACCAGCATCACACCAGACAACATTCGCCGTACTGTACGTCGACTTCCTGAGCACCCAACGTTCCATCAATGCTGCATGGTGCATGCTACTCTAACCGTCTAGAAACACAGGTGAAACCCGCTTATCGTTCGAAATGGAGAAGAATTCCAGCAAGAAGTGCGATTCTTCTCCAGGAGAACGCGCGCCCTGATGCTGGGCGTCTCACGCTCGATACAATATCGAAATTGGGGTGGGGGTACTGGAACACCCCCCTACTGTCCAGATTTATCACCCTGCGACTACTACATGTTTGGATCACTGACAGAAGCCCTCGGAGGTCAAAGATTCAACACCGACGACGAGGTAGAAGAGTTCGTGCGCACATGACTGTCCGAGTTACCCAAGGAATTCTTCGATACCGGCATGAAAAAGCTTCCAGAAAGGTGGAAAAAAATGCGTAACTAGTGAGGGAGCGTCCATAGAAAAATTCTATATTTTTGTAAATTTTTTCGATAGTAAATAAACGTGTCAGACCATTTGTCTCGATCATATTTAAACCACCCTCGTAGCACGTCAGCATGTCGAACTTTGCATTGCTATATTAACACTACTCGGTAACCTATGCTGTCTTTCTCACAGGGGGATCTCAGTATCCCCGTGCATAGGATCCTTATCTTGGACACCCTGTACACTTCGTAGTAATTGATTCTAGTGGTAGATGGCGACAGTTTGAGCCTGTATAACCTCGCTGTATATCATTCCATTCCATTTGAGTGTTTCGAATATACCCGACACATTTTTTTTAAATATTGATATTTAGAAATTGCGCGAAGTACGTGGAAAATTATCCATCAACAAAATCATCTGATGCAACCGCTATGATCATTTACCTGCAACAACCTCATGGCTTGCTGTCTGTCGGAATCCTCGTCTGGGCTGTCATCTCTCAAGTAGTGACTGGCCCTGATGAATCCGATACCTCGGTCATTGTCTTCCATCCCCGCGTTGCTGAAACGCACCCTCTTGCTGCTACCGCTTCTGCTACCGGCGCCGTCTTCTTCAAAGGGTTGCTGCGTTATGGTGAACGAGGACACCAACTGATGGAGGTGACCGAAGATCGGAAGGTGCTGGAAGAAATATTAACCTTCTATCAACAATTAGTGAGAAATGATAACACAACCTTTGAAAACAGAATAGATGTCGTGATCCAAGCAGATTCTTGGCTAAAAGCAAATACCTAGTTGAGTAGAATATAGAAATTCCAAAAGTTATATCATTGTCATTGATTTTTTTGTATTTTTATTAATTTTGTATTCATAGTTTTTTTGGGCGTACTGAGCTTCCTCCATAAAATCCCGTGCCACTACAATGAGATTGTAAAATTACTACCTACTTATAGCGCGAACGTACCTTTCCTAAGAATTTTTAGATTCGAAATCAATACAGGTAAAGTTAAATTTTAGTTTAGTTTTGTTGGATTAAAGTTTCGGTTGACCCTTTTCAGTATCCATCAAAAAATTTGGTTGGTCCCCAACATTTTGTAATTTTCAATATTGTTGTTAATCATACAATTCTGTTAAGATACCTTAGATTGGACTGAGTGCTCAATGAAGCAAGAAGTGAAATTAAATAAACCAAAATTACCTCACAACTGTGCCGGTTGAGGTATGTATATGTAGGTACATCCTTTTGCAACGCCGATGACACTTGTCGATATAAAGATGTGCTATTATTTAGCTTAAACTGCCTTTTGCAATCCACTGAAACCTCCAACATTTTCGGCAACTGCCTGGAGCACTCGGATTGTATGGAACCCACGCACTTTTATATGTTTTTGCTAAAAGTACGAATGTGTTGTATAAACTTTCATCCTGAGTGACTACATGACTAATATTTTCAATAAACAAATCGTATACTTGCTCCTTCTAGTTAGTCGGAATAAGTTGCTAAAACCAGTAAAGGCCCCGTAGCTAATGAGCTTCTAGGCCTTATGCACGAAATTGAACGATTTAGTTCAGTATAAAAAGAGGATCATCATACTTATCATTATTTGATCCACCTATGTGCAGATACACTGAATTTCTCTCTTGTGCTAAGTGCTAATTTTTTTTAGTTTGTGTGCTTTTTGAAAGAAAACTGTTCTTGTGTCGTGAAAATCTAAGGCAATAGTACCTATCGTCTGATAATAAATGATTAATTATAATTTGTTATAATTGAATACTAAGTCTTCCGAGAGGCTCACCGTGTTTTTGATCTAAATTCAACTGAAGTTAGAGATCGATAATAAAGATTACACTTGGTCTTGTAAAACTTGTAGAGCTATTGGAAATGATATTGCTGATTTGAAGGCTTGGTTATATTGAAATTGAATGAAGATTCCTAACAACTTAAGTCTGCTGTTTCTGACACCAGGGTTGTAAATGATGAAACCTTCTTCGGGAAACTTGTAACTGAAGTGAGGGAGAGATCTAAACGTAAATGTAGCCTTGTAATCTTTGTGTCTTTCTGCGAAACAATAATCACTACCAACTGATCGGCGTGTTGAAGCAGATAAGAATGAAATAACAAATACCATTAGGCCTGTTAGAGTGGGTAAAGTGGTTGCTAATAAAAGCCGCCCAGTCAGAAACAACTTTGACAGTAAACATCAAGTTTCTGAGTTGATAGGTATTTAATGCAAAGAAATCTACATACAACAGAGACCCACTCTCATGTGTTAGAACGCCACGACAATTCTCGTACAATAAGAAAATTAAGGAAGTCTTGATTTCTCGTACAGAGGAAGGTGAAACTAAAAATCAAGTATGTTGGGGGTGTTCCTGAAATTATAACTTTAAACTAGTGAGCCCAGCACTCCCACTAATGATGAAAGTGATTGCACTTCGCGAAATAAATTTGGATATATATGTAGTACTGAATTTTTCCCAGACAATTACATAGTATTCCGAAAAGTTTGCAAATTCAATGTTACTGAGCAGCAGAGTGTTGCAGGTGCAAACAAGCGAAGTGTCACCTGGAAGACAGATAAATAAAATGTTGTCAAAAGTGTCGTGTACTGAACGTCACCATTGTGATCAAAGTGTTTACAACGTTTACATGTGAGACAGCTCACATGATAGAGAAGGAGGTTGAGTACATTACGATTTTTTTGTTTTGGCGCTTCAAGCAAAAACTAACTAAGTTCTTGACATTTATTTACCTTACTCTTAGTCCAAAGTTCCAGCTAGAATGTTTACCCAATGCTTTGGAAACCCATGTAATTGTCAGATTATATTAATGAATTCCAAAAATTGCTCACTATTCTGGAACAACCCATATGTGCTATGCCATTTATATATTTATACTCGTAATATAAAATCTAGCTCAAATCCAGCAATACAAGTTGACCTAGCAGACGCTAATAAATAATTATTTTATGTCCGTGTATAGCTTTGACAGTGTTTCAGAAAATTTATGTCGTTTTTACGACAGCAACAATTTGGGCAATCGAAATTGGTTTCAGTTCCGTGTTGTCCAACAATCAGTATATTAGAAGCCATTAGAGATCTGAAATCAGATGCTAACATTAACTATGAAGTAACTCTATCTGTAACTTTCTTCCATATCACTCACATTATAAATGTGTGTTTAGAAAAAGTATACCTCCCTAAACAGTGGAAGCTGGCGTTAATTATAACTGTCCCTAAAATCTCAAATCGTACTGAACTTAAACACCTCAGACCAATAAACTTGTTATCCGTGCATTCATCAATTCTAGAAAAAATCATACGGCAATAGGTAGTTCAATAAATAGAAGAACATAAAATAATATCTTCATGTCAGTCGGGTTTCAGGAAGCACCATAGCACCACTGTAGGTCTCCTAAATCTTTGTGATAATGTTATTCAGACACAGGACAAATAAAGAAATGGCTACAACAGTAGTAGTACTACTTGATTATTCCAAATCATTTGACCGAATTAACCATAAACTTTTATGCACAAAGCTGAAGTACATAGGCTTTGATGATAATGCAGTGGGTTTCTTTTCTGCTCTGATATTACGGTAATACCTTCAAGTGTTCCTCGAGGCTCAATTTTGGGCCCTGTACTCGTTTGACTTATATAAAGCTGTAAGTAATTCAGAAATACAAACATTCGCTGATGACACATAATTTATCATTTCGATACCACAGATTTACAATATGCAGCACGCACTTTGCAAATCGATTTAGATAAGGTACATCAATTTTCTGTAGATCATAATCTCGCTGTTAATCCAGTTTGATTAATTTGAAACTTCTCACACGTATCAAGGGCCGATGACAATGCAATAATTTGATAAAAATTTGCCATTATCCTTACTAGAACCCCCCAGGATTGATAAATTCTTTTAGAGATCCTTTGTAGGGGAGTAAGAGAGATGGAGCTAGCGCGCGATCGGCGCATGCGTGCAATTTCGGACTTACTCTTTATTGGTTAGGGATCACGGCACAACACAAGGGAGGTAGATACTTTTTCAAGGTACACCACCTTTGTCATTGCGAATGTTGCCATTAATCCAGAGTTGGGCGTCGACCGTCCACAAGATGCAAGGTTGTACAGTCGATCATGCAGTCATTTATCCAGGCTCGCGACTGTTTGCTGCTGGACAAGCTTATATAGCACTTAGACGTGTAAGATCTTTAGACGGTATTCGGATTGAGGAACATGATTGCTCTAAGTTAATAGGAAAACCCCCATGCAACAGAGAAGCTTTAAATGAAATGATTGGATTACGAAATGATTCATAAGATATGTCAATACCGCATGTCCTCAAAAAACTAAATGACAAATCGAATTAAAAAAATGAAAAACAAATAATATCATAAAAAAAACTAAAAAGACGCTTTTATAGCCAATCGAACTAAAATATAGAAAATAATTTTTAATTACAAAGAGTGTATATTACAGTAGTAGATGGTCGAAGAATCAATCATAATTAATGACTTCAAAACAAAATTATAATGAAATTTAAGTTATTAACAAGATAATTTAATTCAGAGTAAAAAGCGTGGGGTGCATTTTACTACATTTTCATAACTCTCCTCTCATAGATAGTTGCTGATAGAATGATTGCAACATTTAATACAATATCAAGCACCCCATGCTTTTTACTCTGAATTGAATTATTCTGTTAATAACTTAAATTTTATTATAGTTCTATTTGAAGTCATTAATTATGATTGATTGTTCGACCATCGACTAGTTCGGTTAACTATGAAAGCCGTTTTTATTTTAGTTTTTTTAAGCTATTATTTATTCTTTATAATATTATTTTTATTTTCCTTTGTGTTTTGAACATCTAATGTTAGCACTTAAGTGTAAGAGCAGCCTTGGCTCTTTCTTGTTTGTTTGTATTTAAATAAAGACGTTATTATTATTATTAAAATTGACATTTGCAAAAAAACTCTTCGGGTAAATTATTGTGTGGCTTCGCTGTTAGTACGGCTCTGGTTTCCACAATTTGGCAACACCGCGAGAGACCGCGGTTTGCCCGCCCCATACCCGTATCGGTCCGTTGTTATGGAAACTGCCCGCCTGACACCTATTACGCAAGGGCAGATGCCTTTTAAAGTGGACGTTTGTGTAGAAAGAAAGCCATTTCCTGTCGTAGTCTTAATATATAATGCACGGAGAATTGATGGACCCTACAGAGATCTTGATCAACGAAGTGAAGAAACATCCATGCTTGTATGAGCCAGCCCACAAGGACTTCAAAAACAATTTCCAGAGAGGTGAAACTTGGAAACTTATAGCCGAGATGTTAGGTCAAGACTGTAAGTATGTATATTCTGTTTAGATCTAGTACCAGGTGTTCGCAACAAAACTCCTTGAGTACCAACACTTAAAGTATTTAGATATTTATGACAAACGGTATATATCAGAGGGTGTCACCGAATGTTGTTAGCAAAATTAAGAATAGATTTGGCAAATACAGGGTACTTAAACTGTTATGCTTAATCACTACTAGATGTACTTACTTCCTACGCTACTGGGCGAGGAGGTATTGTAATCGAGACAAATTTCGAAAATGCTATATGTTTTTTGGATTTTATATGACACCACGAAAAAACATGTCATTCACTTCCGTCGGTCTGTGTTCTGTACTTTATAACTCGAAAATTACTGCTCGGATTTGGATGGAATTTTTATAAACACTACGTCAAGGATGAAAAAGATTTGTTGTTTCTGAAATTCGGTCCAGTGGCGGCAGAGACCAAAAACGAAAAAAAAAATAAAGCCGCTCAAACGTCGTTTTTTGATGGATCCATTTTGAAAAAAAATTAAGGATGAAAAATTAGGGGGTGGGGGAGGATATATCTCAATTTTTGATATCAGTATATTTATACGCTCCCAACTTCTGCTATTATACGCACCTATTAGTCACACTTCACATATTATAGATTTCCCCGTACATTTGTATTTAAAGCTTGATAAAGAGGTATTTTCGATTCGCGACTCATGCTACCTGAGCTCAGCGCCCGACCCGGTCTGATGATATAGAAAGGGCCAACCGGTAGGGCCCGAAAAGAAGTGCTACGGACTAATCTTATAGGCCTGTTTGGCTGACTTGATCCATTTAATTTCTCTGTTGTAGATGTGAGGGCTTAACTTGTACTGAACTTAATCCTTAATGAACTGACGACGGCGTTGCGTAGAAAGTGCAGAGTCAACCTAGGTGACGCCATTTTTAACACGTGGTGAAACTTTTACATCAGATGATCGAATGGTACAATTTGTTGTACAAACGCTGACAGTAAATCACAAAAAAATGACTCGTAACGTATTTCATTTTATTCCAAGCATCATCAGTTTATCGCAATCAGACAGCGCGAAACGCCATCTACCACTGGAATCGGCCACTGCTGTGTACCGGTTGGACCTGTAATTGGAGGCCCACTCACCACGTTAACGTATAACGTTAGTTGGCGACGATTCTAGTTGTGTGGTATATGCGGTCTACTTGCTATTGAACAAAATAAACATGCTGCTTTCATTCATCCGTCCAAAGACACCATGAACTGCTATTTCGTGCTTTTTGTCTCTCGAGAGACCAAGCCTTTACCATGCTGATGAGTAGCCAAAAAGCATAAAACAGATGTCCTTGGTTGACCGACTTTTCCCGGAAGGGCGAAAACAGCAGGTTTAGTTCATCATAAATCTGATGTACTGCGAAAAACGTTGTACAATAAATTGCAAATTACAGTCGCGCACTGCGCAGGGGCGGGCATATACGGTAAACGAGTGAGGCAGCCGCCTCAGGGACCAGTGTCATGGGGCGCAAAATGGGCGATACAAGACCGTGGTTCACCGCACGCCAATGCTTGCCACATTTCTTCATAGTTGGTAGTGATGCGCCAGGTTTTCCTACCAAAGGTATTAGTCATCGACTCTCCATCGTACAAATACATACATTCGTAGGGGACTACTGTTGATTCCTATTATTATCCTCCTGCACCTTGTTCAGCATCATCCGCCTCGCGTACAAGAGCTGCAAAATTGTCATTGAGCGTCAATTGCATCCGTCTCTAGTAGCCAACCCATCTACTACATTCGGGTATATCATTAGGTGTATCCTCCTCTTAGTCGGAATATATGCATATAAGCGCTTCCCTTTCTTCACTTCTAGCTTCGGTGTCCTTCCTATAGAGGGCGCACCTCTCCTAACCCAACAAGTCAATTGGCGGGATGCCAGCCACCACCAGCAGTGCATCGGTGGTAAGCGCATACCACGCGCAACACTACTTTTCGCTGGCTTTTGAGCACTAGCTGCCTATATTTCTTTATTCTCAACGGCTTCCTAAAATTACGGACAGTCATTATTAAATACAGAAGTTTAACCATCCCTTATTATGGAAACGAAGGGTTTACGATCAATGCTTGTATAAACTTTCTTGATATTTTAATGTACCGAATCTATCACTTCTGTTAAAGCCTTGAACCGTAGCATAATCACCTATTTTACAGGTGAAACTGCGAAAAATAGATGGAAAAATCTAAAAGACTCGTACATGAAATACAAAAAATGTCAGAGTACTGATAGTAGATATCTATCTAAAATGTACCGCAAATACAAAAATTGGCCTTGGCGTCGCCAAATGGATTTTTTGGATGGCGCGTCATCAAGCATTGAGGCTGAAACTCTCAAAAATGATACTGCCGAGTCTAGTGACGACTTTTACTTTCCACCAATGACCATTTCACCACTAACATTTGAAGCACAAGCTGAACCAATATCAACGCCAAAAAAGAAAAAGAAAAGCAATGAAACCAGCAGCATAGATAAAGTAATTAACTATCTTGAAAAATCTGAAAGTTTTGATGCGGTCGACCACCTGTTCCTGAGTTATGCACATACTTTCAAAACGTTTTCTGTAGTGAGGCAAGCTTCTCTCAAAGTAGAACTCGCAAACATGTTTGCAAAGGCGGAGGTGGATGAGTTTCACGAAAAAGAAATATCTGAAAAATAATCAAGGACAGAAGAACTACATTATGTGCTTATACACATACCATTCCAAAAATAGCTGTTTTGTCCTACACTAAGGCGGACCCTAGTGGTAAAGTTTATACCCAGATCAACTATTAAGACAGATGCTGTAGATCTCTTAACATTGGCATATTACATTGACTAAAGTAATCAACCTGGTAGAATACGTTAATAATTAATACATATTATTAAATGTGTATCGATATGTTTATAAGCTATTGCTTGTTGTAGTACACTTAATAAAGTTACTTCAACATTCTACTTTAGCAAACTTTTTTCTTCATTTGTGTCATGTACGCGGTGGCAAGGTAAAATACTAGAAACGAAATTGGTAGAATCGACAACATAACGAAACTTTGTTAGAATATCGGTATACCACAGCTAATCAAAAGCCACGCAATATTAAAAAGTATCTCCAAACAATTTAGGTTTATTTTGGAGTCTAATAGCTCCAGGGAATATGTAATTGTTCATCGCAAAAAGTTTGTGGAAGATTTTTTATTGATGTTGTTGAAATACTCCTCTTTAATACTAAATCCAAATTGCCGTGACTATATGTCCTCACGTTTAGCCGCCATTTTAGTTGTCGCTTACGATCATTTATCTAGTAAACATCGATCTTACGTAAAAATCGGCCTCTGTCAAATGTCGACTAACTGCCTCTGCCATCTGTTCGATATTTATCTTCAATCGATGATTTCCAAATGCACGCTCCGCGCCTTTCCCAGCGAAATCGATCGTCGTGGAATCTGTCTAGATGGCAGTAGATTTATCTCCGGAAGCATCGAATGTTCGTAGTCGCGTAATTCTGGTTGCCTTAACGTCAACACTGCAAAGGCATCCCATCGCCACTCAAGGTACCAGTTACGAGTATTTTATACAGGGTGTAAACGTTATTGTAGTCATTATTGAAATGAGTAATAGGGGGGGGTGGTCAAAACAAGTCAAAAAGTTCATATGACCCATGGTCCAAAAGTCAATAGATTTTTGTCTAAATGGCTTTATAGTTTACAACTTTAAGTGATTTATCTCGACCACAATCACCACAATCTTTCTAATTTTTATAATCTAATCTAAAACGTTTTTAAATTGGGTAAGTAACAAATAAGTGGCATTAAGTTTTTCTAAGTTAAGCCAAAATTTGTAGTCAGTAAGTAAGTAAGTTTCATTAAATTAAATATTTAAAACACACTTGACAACAGCGCGTCGGTCATTCATCACTCTTATCGAACCGGCAATCGATCGCAAACGGTAACAGTGGTTAGTTATTGATCGCGTACGTCGTCGTGTTTATTTACAATGTACTCGAATCAAGAGTTTGCCGACATGTTGTTAGTTTACGATGAAGCTCGTCAGAATCCAAATCTTGCAGCTCAAATTTATCGCGACAGATTTCGCCAACGGGTACACCCAGACAGAAGGACATTTGTGCAAGTGTACCAAAGACTTCGAGATACAGGAAGTGTTCAGACCACTAATATCCGCACTCGTGAAAGACAGGTTATTGTAGAGCAGGAGGAACAAATTTTAAATATCGTGGAAATCAATGCAGATATCAGCACTCGGGAATTCGGCCGCCGCGTAGGACTATCGCATACCATAGTCCATAGAATCCTACGGGAACATTTCCTTTATCCCTACCATGCACAAGGAGTGCAGGCCTTGTTACCAGAAGACTATCCTCGCAGACTAACATTCTGTCAGTGGTTTTTGCACAAAAATATTGAAAATCCGGATTTTTTTAAAAACATTCTAGCGACGGACGAATGTACTTTTACGCGAGACGGGATATTAAATTTCCATAATACTCACACGTGGGCTCAAGAAAATCCTCATACCATTCGTGAAGGTCATTTCCAAAATCGTTTTAAAATAAATATTTGGGCGGGTATTCTTGACGATCAGGTAATTGGCCCTTTCGAGTTACCCCCAAAGTTGTCAGGAGAAGGATACCTTAGCTTTCTAGCCAATAACCTACCAGAACTTTTGGAACAGACCTTAGACAACATGTCATTACAACGGAAACAGAATTTGTGGTTTCTTCATGACGGGGCACCACCACACATTTTTACAGGCGTCATTCAGTATTTGAATGAACATTATCCAAATCGCTGGATCGGTCGAAATGCTCCTGATCCTCGAAAATGGCCAGCAAGATCTCCTGACCTTCTGGTATTTGGGAGATCTTAAAGGGATGGTTTATGGGGCTGGTCCAATAACAACTGAAGCACAACTTCGAAAAAAAAATTAATGCGGCTGAAATAATAAATGGACAACTTCGATGACCTAGAATGAGAAGAAAGAAGAACAATGTATGTATCAAAATTGTATTCCCTATTTATAAGTGGATTTTTTTAATACGTTCAATAAACTCTCACACACCAGGTGAATCGCTGAGACAGTTAGTGGTATGTCCGTTTTTTTAATTGTTTGGATTTTACGAGTACATTATCAAATAATGAAATAATACCTAAGAGCCAAAAATAATAAACTACATCTTGATTTACACTGCGTTCCGTCGTAATTTGCGTCTGGCATTGCGGCGTTGTCAGATTTTATTTTACTTTAAAGTCGCTTCTCTCTAAAAAACAATGCCGTTTTGACCCCCATGTTATATGAAACTTTTTGCTTCTTTTAACCCCCTCTATCACCCATTTAAATAATGACCATCATAACGTTTACACCCTGTATATTAAAGTATTTAATAGTACTTGTTAATATGCATTTTTTCTGGGTTTGAACTTTATGTACACCTATTAGTTTTTGGCAAACATTCAAAATTGTATTCGAAGTGGATTTTATCTATTTAGGTTATCCATCTCAAAAAAGAAATGATTGAAATTTCTTTATATTAAAAATTTATTGTTAGGCATACTTTAAAAGTGTGTCGGGGAATCGATCATTTCATAAGTAGCTTTGTGAAATTAAAGCTGTTTTTAACTCCCTAGATCAAATGAAATATTTTACAGTAAATGTTGTCTTCAATAAAGTCGTCAAGGTGGACATCGACCAAAAAATTGACTTTCTGTAAATTATAGAAGCTCTAAAGATATATTCCTTACGATTTGATAATTACTTCAGCAGTAAATTAGACGCAAGATGGGAATATATTCTACGGAAAGATAACCATGTGATAATGGCCAACATATTTAAAGCCGTGGAAAAGAATATTCCAAACGGAAGTAATTAATTTGATTTCCTGATCAAAGCATAACAGTAATATCCCTAGAGCCAGTTTCTCAATCAATAGATACAGTTTCAAACTCGTATACCATTTTAATTTAATATAGAATTTGTTCCAAACATGTGCATGTGTCAAAAACAATATTGACAATTAATTAAATAAAAAAACTCACCTTATCTAGCGAGCTAAACGACAGAAGCCCCACTTGTTGAACGTTACGCAACTCCCGACGCGAAAATAAGAATTTCGATTTTTTTGCGAAATTTCCTCCACAGGAATTCGTACGGTAAACGATTTATTGCAATCCGCCGTCGCGGGAAAAATCTCAAGTTGTCAGAAATAAAAAAATTTGTCACTGAAACGACCTTTACGTGGCGCGTCAGAGCGACGAACTTTCCGTTGCTCTATATTTATTTTGGTGTCTCGTGACGCCAGCGTCACACAGTGTTTTCGGGAGTTCGAGTTCAGTTAGAATTGGGATGCTATTGATTCATCTAATGCAACGAGTTTGATCTGAAAAATAGCCGTGGAAATCATTATCCCATCGAATATTTGAGAAAAAATTACACCACTTCAATTACAGTTCGGATATATACAGTGTGTCCCAACGAAAATGGAAAGTAGTTTTATGAGCAAACTGGAAGAGATACCAGAAATATGCTTTCGTAGTAACCTTGATATGTTACTAGTGCATATTCTAAAATTACTTTAATATATTCAGGGTGCTCCATAACCTCGTGTCATTGAAAACATGTATTCAAATATATAATATATCTTATTACATATTTGAATAGAGCTTCTAAAAACAAGAAGTTTGATGAAAATGCCCAGCTTTGACGGCTCCGCCATTTTTGAAGGTATTTAGATAAATCTTTGTTCACAAAAATCTTATTGTCATCGATTTCAAGCTGATCTGAAAGAAATGCTAAAATATCTTTCTATTTCTATTTATGTCTCAAAACGCAAAATGTACCTTTTCTCAAAAATTTCAAGTATATTTTTTATCGTTAAATGTTTTTTGGTGAACTATTTTTTTACATGGCTTATAGGGGAAAGTCGCCTATATCGTACTGGCTCCTTAATCGTACCTTGTCGATATTTCAGATATTACGCTTATGTGTAAAACATCTTTCACCACAATTAGAAACCCTAAAGTTGACAACCAGTAATACCAGCAAAAGTTTGACAGTAGCGCGTATCGCTCCCGACATGTTTAAGGTTTTATTTTGTGCGGCAAAGTGATATAAAGTTTGGTTGACCTACCGTAAGTAGTTTTGGATATTTTAGTTGACTAAGCCTAAAATCTATTGTATGCCTTTAAGATTAACAACTTTTATACACTTTTTGATAACTTTAAACATAACCTTATTTCTATAATTTCCAGAAAAACTTTATCTTTATTTATTTGGTGTAAAGTTGCCTGGATCGTACCATTAGAGATTGCCTAAATCGTACCGGTACGATTAAGGCCATTTATACTGGTACGATTACGGAAGCTATGTAGTAACAGTTTTTTTACTTTTTTATTTTTTTATAGATAATGAAAGCAGCCTTAAATGTTTTTCGTGAGGGAAACATAGGTTTTAATGAGGTTTGTCGCCAATACAATATCCCAAAGCCAACATTTAGGAGTCCATTTTTTTTGGAGTGACTATTCAAAAAATAAGAAAGGCTGCCTTTGAATTCGCTGAACGCAATGGTCTTAAACATAATTTTAATAAAATCACAAGGATGGCTGGAAAAAAATGGTTTTATAGCTTTATGAGTCGCCATCCACAACTTTCCTTTAGATAACCAGAATCAACTTCGATCGCACGGTGTAAAGGTTTCAACAGAAGCAATGTTCAGGAGTTTTTCAATATCTTAGAAAAACTTGTTGTCGATCATGCTTTGACTGCTCCGAAAATATACAATGTCGACGAACCGTACAAAAAAGATGTCAGAAAGTGCTGGCTAAAAAAGGAAAATCGCAGGTTGGTGTCATAGCTAGCGGCGAAAGAGGTGTGAATACTACATTCGTAAGCTGCGCAAGTGCTGCAGGTCAATACGTGGCACCGATGGTAATTTTCAAAAGGAAAAGGATGGCGCCAGAGCTGGCAGATGGAGCTCCCCCAGGATCACTGGTCGAAATATCGGATACTGGTTACACTAACGCCGATTTGTTTGTTACTTGGTTACAACATTTCATTGCTGCAGTTACACCTTCAAAAGAGGATAGAGTGCTTTTAGTTTTAGATGGACACACCACACATTCGAGAGATTTAGCAGCCATTGAGATGGCCCGCGAGAATGGGGTTATTATTTTACAGCTGCCAGGTCATACCACCCATCGTTTACAACCACTTGATGTGGCAGTATTTAAGCCATTCCAGGTCTATTATGACCAGTCGGTTGAAAAATGGTTGAGAGAACATCCCGGGAGGACAATCGGTCAATTTCAGGTGGCCCGATTAATCGGAGAAGGATATGGAAAAGCAGCATGTGTCGCAAATGCCATAAGTGGATTTAAAAAATGCGGTATATGGCCTGTGGATAGAAACGTTTTCACAGATGTTGATTTTGAAGGCGGAGAAAACAAAAAGCAGTAGCGGAAAGCAAGGACGCTGACGATACACCTTCGAGTGATGATGATGTGCCCTTGGCGCTTTTAGTTGAAAAACCGAAATCGTGCGCCACCTCTGAAACTCAACCACCCGATGCTTCTTTCGAAGACATTCTACCAATTCCAAATAGTCCTGGCAATCAGAAAAATGCAAGTAAACGTGCACAAGCAGCAAAAGTTTTAACTTCAACCCCACATAAGGACGAATTAAAAGCAAAGCAATCTACTATCGAAGAAAAGAAAAATAGGAATAGCCAATGGCCAACCGGAAAAAAAGTAAAAAGGAAAAATGCTTCGTATGGTTCAAATGACGTAGTGGTAAAAATAGTAGAGGATTAGTGGCTTTGTGTTATATGTAATGAGTGTCGAGTAGAAAATATGATACAGTGTTCCTTATGCAAGCTTTGGGTCCATGAACTTTGTGCAAGTTATAAAGGAAGTTCTTCGTACTTTTGTGACAGTTTTTCCTAAATAACACATCTTGTTATCATTGTTTGTCTTGTTTCGTTTTTGTTTTGTAATACCCATCTACACACGAACATATTAAAATTTGTATTCTTGTTTAAATACTACTGTTATGCTACCATACTTAAGTGGTACGATATATCAGATCAGTACGATTTAGGAAACCTAGTGGTACGATTTTGGCATCTGGTTTCCCAAGTCGTACCATTTGCAATGTTTATAAAAAATGTATTTTTCTCTTAAATTAGATAAGTAGCCATAACAAAAGAAAGTAGAAATATGTAAAAAACATTTAGTTAAATATTTAAAATAAAAGGAGCCCCTTAATATTGAAAATGTTAGCTCACTATACATTTTTCCGAAAAATGGTACGATTTAGGCGACTTTCCCCTACAATTCTTTTCCAAACGTTTTTGAGTTATTGCTATTGATTTCAAGGAAAACCAAATACATCTTGTATTTAAACATGTAATCAAATCTTCTATCAAAACTATAGCTTATATTAACACAACAAAAGTAATATCAGCCTAAGGCAATCAATCATTAATAAATTGTTCGAATATACCATATTGCCTTGGTGCAAAGCACACCAGGCCAGACGATTGTTGAAATTGTCTTGCTCGTCTAAAAGAGTAGGTTTCAGCTTAAAGGACTCGCTTATACCATGTTTCATGTCCTCGGGTGTTATAGGTTCATCCTGGTAAGCCTCTCTTTTTACTTGGCCCCAGAGAAAAAAGTCGAGAGGCATCAGATCGGGAGATCTTGCTGGCCAATTGACCGGTCCGATACTCCCGTACCGCTCGATGGAAATCTGGTGGGTCTCCGTAGTTATATTGGTACCAAACATTTTACCTAGTTGTTAAATTTACATTCTCTAGTAAAAGAGATTAACCAAGTTGTAGAAACAACATGGTATCCAGGGTGCTCCATTTGAAATTCATGAGAAAATGTACATTTTGCATTTTGACATACCATGCATAAATAGAAATATATTTTAGCATTTCTTTTAGATCAGCTTAAAATCGCTGATAGTAAAATTTCTTGTCAACTAAAATTTATCTTATATCTTATATCTTCAAAAATGGCGAAGCTACGAGCCGTCAAAGATTGACATTTTTTCAGACATTTCACTAAATAACTAAGTAATTGACAATCGAAACCATATATTATGTAATATCAAACTTCTTGTTTTTGAAAGCTCTATCCAAATATGTAATAACATATAGGGTGTTCAGCTTCATTTTGCGGTATATCACGTCAATTTTGCATATATTAGAATGTAAGGTCCCACTTAACCCCTACTGTCAAACTACAAGTGTAGCAGATTTTTTTTAAGAGGGGAGAGGGGTACATCTTCCGACATCGGTAGTCATTCGTATACGTGTTCGCAGTCTCTTTCGCAGTGTGAGTCTATTTGTTATCGAGGGTAGATGTGTGTATTCTAGACACAGAAAAATGGATGATAAATACCACGAGCAGTGGATGCCGTGGTATGGAGAATGTGAGAGCGAAGATAAAAGTAGCCATGATCCATATAGAACAGATGACTCCATAGCTGATCCATAATATATGCAACAGGACTCACATGCTGGTACTGATTCAGAATACGAGAATAGGCTTCAGATCACGCATGATTTTTTTCACCATAGCTAAATGTGTGAGAAATTCCTGTCTGAATGCTATTTGATTTATTTTTCTATGTTTGATATGTAATAATTTATCAAAGTGACATTTTGAGCACACCTCAACATTTCTCAGTGCCCCGCCCGAAAACAGTTCCTTGACGTGATATGCCGTCAGTGTCCGCGAAGGTGTTAAAATGATTTTAAAATATAGACTAGTAACATATCAAGGTTACCACGAAAACATATTTTTGATATATTTTCCAGTTTGCTCTATTTTAGATAGGACGCCCTATATCCAGGTGCATCAGAATAAGCGCACCAACCTAAACCCTTTTCAATCGGGCGTCCAAAAAAGTATCAGAGATTAAATGAGATACCGTAGGGTTATCTGTGAGAATTTGTCAGAGCCATGCTTCTATACTCTCGCCACAAATTAGAAATTTACTTTAAAAATGCTACTGTCTCATATATGGCGCTGTAACCAAATATATATGTATGCTATATGGTAATATTATAAGGCTACAGCGCCACATATTAAACACTAACCTTTTCAACGTAGATTTCTAGTTGGTGGAGAGAGTATAAAATTCTCATAGATATCGGTCGCAACATTAATCAACAGAGAACAGACTATCCAATCTGACAAACAAGTGAAAACTACTGCCAAACTGACGAGGTAATTCCAGGACTACTGCTATTTAGCATGAAAGCGCTGCACCGCTGGACCGCTTTACGTTGGCTGAAGGTTCCCATTGATTTGATGTATACACTAATTATTTATTTTTATACAAAAACCCTACTAACTTGAATACACTTGTTCAATCGATATTTGATTGCTGATAATTCTCCATGATTGCCTAGGCGCAAAATGAAACCACGTATGCTTGGCTTACTTTTTTGACGTTTCGGCAACCACGAGGGCCTTTTTCAAATGTTGTCATTTGTACTTGAAAAACGTCACCGTGGTGGCCTAAACGTCCTCAGTAAACAGTATTTCAAGCATACGTGGTTTCATTTAGCAGAAAGACAAAGATGGAGGATAAGAGACATTGACACATTAAAAATTATCTGCTTACAAAGGCGTTCTTTGAGCTGTCCATAATGTGATTCTACATGAAAAAACTTCCAGGATATAACGTCCTCCCCCTATAATGGCTATGGTGTTACTTCTACGCATTCCTTCATCTATGGAAAGGAGCTGACAGTTGTCACACATGACAGCGCTCATAGAACGACAACTAGAGAAACTTGTGACACAGTTGTGAGTTGTGATTGGTTGTGATCGTGATCGTTGTGATGTCAACTTGTCAACACGTGCAGTGCTGCAAGGTTTTATAGGTTAGGTTTGAGTGATATAATTTTGAATTAAAGTTTTTCAAAATATGGGAACTAATACAAAGATCACGAAAAGAAAAAGTGATTTAGGGCTCAAAGGATCTCCTCCTAAAAAACAAAAGAAAGAGTTTGGCAGCGGTCTCCAAAAATCTGTCCAGAAAACGAAGTTGAATAAGGGAGCGACTGGTGAAAAACAAAACGATAAATTCAAAAACACTTCGAATGGCGAACCAAATGAAAGGAACCACAAGGATCAAATTCGTAAATCTAAATTCACCAAAACTAACAAAAAAGGACCTCCTGTAAACTTGAAACAGGCCAAAGCGAAAAAACTGTTGCCCAAAGGTAAAATCCAGAAAGCTGAAAAAATCGAAGATTGGAACGCATTTAAGAAACAGAAAAGAGAACTGAAACTGAAAAGAAAACAGTCAAAAGATGGATTTGACATAATAGTAAGAGCAAAACAAATTGGTGAAGAGTTGAGGCGAAGGATTTTAAAAGGAGGAGAACAAAAAAGAGTACAATTAATAAATGAACTGCATAGCTTACTCAAAGGGAAAGGACATTATGCTAAGTTTGTTTTGGCACATGATACTGCAAGAATTGTACAATGGCTATTGAAGTATGCTTCAAATATTGTCATTCAACAAATCTCCAAGGTATGACACTTAAGTATCTGAGGTTTTAGGAATAAACATCTTATGACATTTTTACAGAAAACCCAGACACCAACTTTTGAATCTCAAAAATGATGGGAGTATACAATAGTTGGTGAAATCTAAGTTTTAACTGAATGTTATTTACTTGTCTATAGATATTAAAATTACATTATCAAATCTAAGAATCAAACCTCTTTTATGAAATAGATAGTATATATGTATATAGTATCGCAGTATCTAAGCAAATGTCACATGATCTGTATTTACCATGATCTTACAGTATTTATAATATAATGTGATATTCATTAACCTCTGACTGATTGAATCATCAGTAAATATGGAGTTTATACAAGCATTTTCCTTATCATTAAAAAAAAATGATCATAACTGTTTCTTGCATTAGTGTCTTAAGTTTTAGATTTTCTTCATTCCAAACTAAATAAGCATACCTTATTCTTCTAGGAACTAATTCCTGGGACAGTAAACATGTTACAGTCTAAATATGGTGTTTTTTGTGTAAAAAGGTTGTTGAAATATGGAACGACTGAAGTTAGATCACAAACTATAAATGCTATGCTTGGCCATGCTGTAAAACTCACAAGCCATGCAGTCAGTGCTCCTGTTGTAGAATATGTCTTTTCTACCTGGGCTACTCCAACACAAAAACAGTATCTAGTGCAAGAATTCTATGGAGATCTGTATAAAAATTCTAAGGACAATAATGTGAAACACATACGAGATGTGTATAAGACAGATGAGAGTTTAAAAGCTGCAACTTTAGGAGCAGTAAAAACCAATTTAACAAAAATACTAAATAAGTCATTATTAGATTCTGGAATTGTGCAAACAGTACTATCACAATACTTAACTGAATGTTCAGAAGATGACAAGAAAGAAATGATTGCACAGTTGGTACCACATATTGTTGTCATAAGTAATAGTAAAGATGGAGCTAAATCTGCCATGCAATGTATATGGCATGGAAGTAATAAGGATAGAAAGGTATGATCAGATATTTATCAAAATGAATTGAAGGTTGCTTTATGTACTTTTTTATATGTTATAATGTATATTCAGTTCACATGTTTATAGACCTCTTTTACTTTCCACACCTACTATTATTTTGGTGTTATATGACATATACATCACAAAAAACTGTCACTCATTTCAGTTGATGTGTCTGTCCCTTAATCCTTTTAGGCCCATTTAGAACTTGGAAAGTGCCTCAGATTTGGATTAAATTTTCACACATGGTTACTACTATGCCAAGGACAAAAAAGCTTTGTAATTTTTGAAAATTTGGAAAGTGGCGGTGGAGAAAAAAGCCAATAACGAAAAGAATAAAAATCACTCAAACATTGTTTTTTTTTTTTTGACGTGTCGGAGACTACCGATCATTTTCGGAAAATTTTGGTAGAGGTTAAAAATTGGCTGTTGGCAGTTGCAGGGGGTGATAGACAATATATCTCAATTTTGACGTTGGTATATTCATACACCCCAGTAATTCTACGCACCTATCAAACATTTCAGTCATCATAGATGTCCCCATGCAGTTACCCTTAAACATAAAAATATCACCACCAGCCGCGTATCGACACGCGATCGATTGAATGTTGCAGTTGGCAGTCACTTCCACAACAGTGTGCTCTATGCTGTAAAAGTCAATATCATCATCCACGCGAGATTAGTCATAGAAATGATCATGTGCCTCCGCAAGAATTTGTCTCAGGCCAAGGGGAAGAGTCGCTTAATTTTGTTATTATACATGTTCATAACTTTTTTCTCAAGTGGGCTAACTGATGCCAAACATAATTGTTTACAAACTGATGACTGCATTGCGAGGAAAGGTACAGAGACAACTTACTTGACGCCATTTCGTTTTTCATCATTAGTTAACCAGTTAGTTGTGCAACACCTTAATTGAAACTGACTCTAGAAATGGAGTGATTTTTGATTGTCAATTATTATAATTAACTTTTTTTAATCATTTTAGGTAGTAATGAAAACTCTGAAAGAACATCTGATAGATCTCTCTAAACATGAACATGGTCATGCCACTGTTATTTGTTTGCTAGACTCTATAGATGATACTGTGTTGCTTCATAAAATCATACTTTCTGAGCTCTTAACAAGTGTGAAAGATCTGGCTCTTAGTGAATGGGGAAGAAAGGTAAGAGACTACTTGTAATATGTTCTGTTATGACTTTGCTCAGAAGATATGATTCTTCAACTTTCTAATCTGGAAGCAAATGAGATCAAGTCCGAAATGTTCATAAGGGTATTGAATTTAGCATGAAAAGTTAGATATTAGTTAGATAGTAATCAAGCAAATAGGCTAGCTTAAGAATATAGAGAGGCAGAAAGGATATTTTTTCTCAAATAACTGAGATGACCTGCATTGCCTTTTATACATTAAGCATTACCTGATGTAACTGGTTATTGAAGGTTCTATTATGGTTGGTGGCACCAGCAGATACAACTTATTTCCATCCAATTTTTGTAAAAGAATTGACAGAAGGTAGAGAGGCATCATCATGCAAAAAATCCGCAGAAAATCGACGCAAAGAGATCCTTCAGTATTCCTTGACTACTTTGTTGGATATGGTATCAGAAGATGCCGAATTTTGGCTGTCAAATGCCTCTTTAGCAACAGAAATGAATGCCATCATCAAAGCAGGTAAGTGAATTGATATTTATGAGTTTATATCAAATAATAGCATTGTTTGTTTCGAAAATATGCCTTAGGACTAAGATATTCCGTGTGCAACCAGGTGAGTAACACCATCATATGCCCATACACAGAAATACGAGTATAAGAAAATATGCTGTTTTATTTACATATACCTGTTTTAGGTTCTGGTGAAGAATTGCAGAATGCTTATAAAAGCCTGGTAGAAGTGATTATCAAACCTGAATGGAAAATCAAAGAAAGTGAAAACAAAGAAATTTTGGGCGTAGAGCATGCTGGTATACATATGATATTGAAAAAGATCACACAGCATGATAAGTCTAATTCCACAAGTTGTGATTCTACGTTTGGTTATATTCTCTCAGAAAAACTGAATAGTGAAATAGTAAGTTTTATTCTTACAAACAAATAATTTTTAATTCTTTTTTCGTTAAATGTACCCTTCTGGATTAAAGACGGTAGTAAAGCCGATAGGAAGGATATTTGAATCTTAAGGAATCAAACATCACTAATGTTAATTATTAACTAAAACTGGCGTCAGAGAATTTCAAAAATTAGTATCTAAATTTTTTTGAATTCTTAATTATGGGCTTTGATTAAACTTTTTGTTACAGTTGTCCACCTGGTTAAATTCAAATAGAGGATGCTTTTTCATAGTTGCAGTTTTTGAAAATGGTTCTGAAGAGACTCAAAAACAGCTCAGAAGCAAACTGAAGAAACATGTGAAACTTTTGAAGACCCTAGAGACGCCAGGTGCTAAAGTGTTGGTGAAAATTCTAGGCTGTACATAAATAAGGTTATGTAATTATATTTTGAAGATATTTTGGCTTTTTTTCATTTTTAGTAGGAAATCTAATAATCTACCAGACACTAGCCTAAACCCGCGGCTGTGCTCGCGTAGGAGTAATCTAAGGTATGATCATACATCTTGCATTAGTTTTGGGGAAAGAAAAGCACTATTCAAAGTAATGCAATATTTACTTTGATAATAGATATTTTTTATTCATCATGTCAATGCAACAATATGTAAATATGTATGTTTGTTCAGTCTTGTCCGCATCACTTCTGAACCACAATTCAAAGACACGTAAAAGTTTGTAATAAATATCCGAGGAAGGTTATACGCATCGTTTTATCGGCGAATTCATTCAGTCGAATTTGATTATATTTGCAGAGTCTCTATAATATACCAGAACACCCCAGAAACTTGATAACCACGCATTTATTGGAAAGAAAGGGAATTGGCTCGCTGTCACTCACTTATGATCAAAGTTATACTTCCTTCAATTTTCTTTCATATCACATACATAATGTTTATTTAGAAAAAGGATACCACCGTAAATAGTGTAAGTTGGCCTTAATTATACCTGTGCCTAAAATCTAACATCCTACTGAACATCTGAGGCTTGTAATCCGCGCTTTCAAAAATTTTATAAAAAATGATACTGAAACAGCATAGATTATATTTGAAGTAAAACAAAACAGCAAACAAATCTGAATCAAAACGATCACGCTAAGAAAACGGATGTCGAAATGCACGATGCAAACGCCCTATTTATATACCCTTAATCATTTCGGTCAGACCAGCGCTTCCGCGTCAGACACCTCATGTCAAATTCTATTACGCTGTTTGGGCTGTAGCCCATGAAATGATATATCAAAGTGATTTTCCAGGAGAAAAAGAAGTCTATGTGCTTTCATCCAAACCCGCTAATCCATTTTGCCGTGATTTAGTAAAAAACATCCACAACTTCTCATTTATAGCCCCTCCAGACGTGAATTGCGCGAGAAGCGAGAAGGTGTCTACACTCAGCCAATGTGATACTCTTCTTTTTCCTCACCCGCAGTGTTTCCAGGTGGAGTCGACGATATTTCGGTATAATTGTATGGAATTTTTCGGTAGATTGAATACCGAAGAGTACATGAAGGCATTTACTTAAAACAATTTTATTTAACTCAAAATATACTCTAAAACAGAATAAAAATAAACAGTTTATATCTCACTTTAGCTAACTAAAAATAAAATATTATTAACAAAAAACAGAAAAGGTGTATAAAATAAGAAATGTGGAAGCTGTATAGGAAAATCATTCTTACGATTCATTTTTGTATAAGTTTTTATCAGTCATATTATCTACTAATTTTGCTTTGCCAAATGGTCCATCAGCAGGAATGGCAAATTATGCTCGGCCAAAAATGCGCTCAATAAAATAATCTATATAGTCTCAAATCTTCTCAAATAGATTAATTAATTTTACCTTCTTTAATATCATTTTCTAATTTCTTTGATGCACCTGCAAATGTCAACAGTTTTGGCTGTTATGCTATGGTTTGCACTTTTTTATGAAATTGCCCATTTGCGTGTTTTATAAGTGCATCTCTTCCACTTTTGGTATTAATATCTTTATCACAGACCATGCATAATCGCGTCCTTTATTGCTTTTTTAAGCCAGCCTTGGAAATCTGGCAATTCTTTCCAGTCTTCCTCATAATGTTGGACTTCCGCACGCGAAAAAAAAAATAACTGCAAGACAGGCAATACTAATACTGGCCGAATTCGGACTTACTAAGTACACGAAATCATACAAATCGTACTATATGAGCATAGACTTATCACGAACCGCTAGGCCTAGGCGATGTAGCCAAATCATCGAGTATCTTCGGTGATTCCCCAGATGCGAAGAATCAGCGTATGTGGCACACCAATGTCAGGCAAAGAGAATAAAAATATATCTGGTCTAGTACGAATAATAATAGTACTAAAATTATTCAATTGAAAGGAAAGTCCACTTTTCGGTAGATTTTGCTTTAAAATCGGTAGTTCGGTAGACCAGGACCAAAATCGGTAGATATACCGAGAAATCGGTAGACCTGGTAACACTGCTCACCCGAGACACCCTTTGACTCGGGCGAAAATACCGCCACCGATCGGAGAACGGGCGAGCAGCAGATCACATTCACGCGGCTCGAGTGTTCTCGCCGTGATTCTATAATTTATTGGTTCACGGTTGAAAAATTATGTTTAGCATAAATGGCCATCAAGCTTATTTCAACATAACGTATGCCATTAGACGCCATTTTAGACTCTCTGGTCTTTTTGTTAGTTTATTTTACTTCCTACACCACTGGCGACGGAGTATTTTAATCGCGAAAATTTTAGAGAATGAGCTATTGTTTTTTATATATCAGATGTACAGCACTAGAAACCATGTCACTCATTTCCGTCAGCCTGTCTGTGCGCTAATCCTTGACCATGCTATAATTTGGAAAGTCGGATTTTGATGAAATTTCCACACAAGGTCGAAAAAGCTTAATAGTTTTTAAAAATCAATCCAGTGGCAGAGGAGTTAAGGCAGAAAAGTGAAAATGTAAAAATCTCTCAAACTTCGTTTTTGACGTTTCAGAGGATCCTGTCTCCGGCCGCGGTAATTCTACGCACCTATTAGACATATTTGAATTATCATAGATTTCCCAGTATATTTATCCTTAACACTTAGAATGAGGGAGAAATATTTCGCAGTTCTTTCGATGTGTGTGAAGCAGAAGGGGGAGCGCCAACCATCGGCAAGAGATAACTTTGTGTGAAAGCGTACCTACCTCCAAAACTTTTTGAAGAGCAAGGGTTTGCATATTTTCTCAAAAAGACAAATCCTACGGAGCCTCAAAATTGTAGAGAAAATATTATTTGGTTGTTAGGTCGTCGTGAAACATTTTTACTTGGCGTTTCGCTAACACGAGTGGTTGGCATTTTCAGATATTCACAGTTTGGAGTCCTGTCAACATCTTCTGAAGATGCCAACCTCTCGTGTTGGCGAAACGTCCAATAAAAATGTTTTACGACGGCCTAACAACCCAAAAACCAACCAATTAATATTGGATGATAGCCGCAAAAGCCTTTCGCATTTCATTGTACAGAAAAACTTGCTAACTATGCAATTTTAGTTATATGAGATAAAAATTTTCTCAGAGGCCAACTTGTACCAAACATATTCCTTTATGAACTGATGACGTCATTACATAGGAAGTGCAGAGTCAACCTACATGAAGCCACTTTTTGTTACTATGACCAGGCTTAGATTCTAAGACATTCAGGCGTAGAGTAATGAAAGATACGCATTTTATTAAATATCAACATTTATTGGTAACATAAGTAATACACATAATACTTCTTTTTACATCTAAAATATATCCTTAAAATAAAATCACATTTTCAGCATTGTATGAATAAAAACACATCCGTATGACAGAATGAAAATGTAAAGCTGCAATATGAACCAATGGAATATCTAAAAACCTGTTTATTGCTAAGTTTAATACTATCACGATAAACATTTTCAACAAGCTATATAGTTTCAATATTCGGCAAGTTTTCAAGCCTCTTTTACCACTTCGTGCAGATACCACCAGGGTACACGAGATTGCTTTACAACCTTTTTTGTAAAATATATGGTATGATTTGCTGTGAAATTTTATTGTTAGATGGCAAAAGAGACTCAGAGTTGCCATTTCCGAAAAATATATATTTACAGAATTGTGCTTTACCTTAGTTAGCTGTTCTGCATTTCCTTGTTGTTTTTTTCAAAATAATATTTAGCCGCCATGTTTATTGTCACTTCTGTTCAAATGATCAAAATCAAATATGCTGTTAATTTTAACAAGAAACGACCCAATGTGATCAAAATAATAATTTATTGCTAATAAATATCAATAAATAAATCATGTATATTTGAAGTATGACTTAAGATTCTAATATTCTAATGTAATAATGGATGTGTACGTAAGACCGGTTCTTCGCCAGACACAATTATGTAGAAAGCTATATAGTTTTATGCCATACTCATCAAAATATGGTAACATCACACCTATTTACACAGTAAACATATTACCAATGTTAATGACTAGTCACAAGGTCCAATTTTTCGATTTTTTCTCTTGTGATCAAATTTGGCCAATAAATTAAGTTGAATTGTATTTTTCCGAATTCATATCAGAAAATGTTGATAAACCTCTGGGAAAATAATTATCACCCTCTCCAAGCACTACAAATAAAAACAACACAGAAACATTGAATTAGTTTGGAAATGAAGGTACCCACAAAGGTACCAACTTTCTCTCAGCACTGTATTTTTCAACCTAATAATCATTTTCACAATTGGGGAAATGAGACGACCCAAATTATGCTAAAAATGTGCTGCAATTTAGGTCTGACTTCTACTGAACAATATCTTCAAACTCGGTACACATCCTGCCTTATCATAATACTACGCATATGTATTCTTCATTCAATACTAAAATCTAGCCACACGTTTGCCTCTATAAAACAAAAAATAGGCAAAATGGAACAAAAAACAACTACGTTACATAGTAACATTCCTACTAAGGAAACAATCATTTGATCTCCATCACTGCGCTACAGGGGACATAAAATGATATAAAAAGCCGTCAAACGTCTAAAACGATGATATCGATTAAAACTGTACACTGAGTTTCATCATACTAAAAATAAATCGAACATTTATGTATAACTACATATTTATATTCTCCATCGCCTCGGTCGTGAGACTCTGCATATGTATATCTTGAAAGACTGTCCAAAAAATACTATTTTTCAAACATTTTTCAACTTTTTCATGCACATACTATCAGCACATATATGGATTATCAAATATTTTCATGAAATCCATAAGGAATACAATATATTCCTAGCTTATTTATGAAGAACATAATGGTAGTATTTATTTTTTCTGCAACCAAAAATAGCCTTAAAAATTGTCAAAAATGGCAGAAGACGAATTATGGTTAAATGGTAGAATGTAAGAAAAATAGTATATTACGTCAAGATGAAAGTTTTCAACGTTTTGTCTCAAAATCTCAAAGGACCTCTACAATCGTCGCCTTATTTATTAAGGTGTCGAATGTCTAAGTACATAAAATCTCTTCGCATGCCAACTGGTCGAAAATAACTTGGGTTCATAATCTTGGGGATGATGCACTAATCAGTTTTCTTTTTCGGCGAAAATGGGATAATGCTGTTAATATGCCAGAGCTTGGAAATCACCTGTAGGCCCTACAAAAGAAGTATTTTGTAACGCATTCACTCGTACTTATACGAATCGCTGAAACGCTCATAGTGAGAGTGAGTAATTCAAATCTCGGGACCACCTGCAAACTCCATACACATAACATCCTTGAAACTTAACCTGTGGTTTTCATGTTCATATAACTCCATTGTTTGTTCGAATCAAAACCACATATGCACTGAAAACTAAAGTTGTCTAACGATTTGAGTTCAATGTGTACGAGAGAGAAGTGTGTATTAGACAGATATGTTAAAAAGAGATAGAAGCTGCCTGGATAGCGAAGCTCATCACCGCATGGCCTAGCAACGTTGACGTAGCAATCTGCACGTTGCCAATATGTAGTTCCTTGAATGTACGTTACTTTATTCTTTTCGCCAAATAATGGTTTTATTTTAAGCATACACATTTATGAATTCTGTCGAATCTGTTTAGGATTGATTCCCGATGGGTCCTAACGGCGCTCCATTTTAGGTCGAAATGAAAGCTCAGGATCGTTACAAATTCTTCAACATTGCATCATTTTTTCGTTTGATAACACCGCATCTTGTACATTCCAAGGCAAGGTTTCCATCTCCATGATCATAGTTGAGCGATTTTGGTTAGTAGGCGAGTATCGTCCTGATTTGAAATGGCTTCCACCTGCGTACACACAGGCAGTTATAATTTGTATTGCGTAACGTTATTTTTTACATTTTCCTACCTCAGCTCTGTCGCAAAATGTAACAATAACTCAGGATGTGTTGATTCTATCACCATCGGTGAAAATCAAAGATAATTCTGAAATAAATTGAAACACTAAGTCACATCAAAATTGAAATAAATTAATTGTAATCAAAATGAAAATAAAATATTAAATTAAATGTGCGAAAAGACCTCCTTATTGTGTTTGTCAGTAACCTAGCCTAATGTAGCAGCCTATGTGAACATTTTCTAGTGGCAATTTCTCTATCCTATACATTGAACTCAAGCTGTCAGAGAAATTTTGTTTTTGCTTATGTTTAGATTTCTGTTTATTGTACGACATTTCGACCACCGTTGTGGTCTTTTTCAAGTAGAACTGACAATTATGTGACAATACGAGGGATGTCTCTTAAGTTTTGCATATAGAAACATAGTACGCCGCGCGGATCGAACGTCAGTACTGAATCTCAACCTCACTCATTAGTAAACTTAAATTCAAAGTGTCACCAAGTCATTAGAAAAATGGAACTCAACCGAGAATATTTTCGCGCCATAATTTATTACAACTTTCAGAGACAATTATCGCAACAAGAATGCCTTGCTGAGTTACTGTCTGTTTTCGGCAACGAAGCGCCACATCAGTCGACAATTTCCCGTTGGTATGGAGAATTCAAACGTGGACGGGTGAGTCTTAGCGACGATCCCAGGGTGGGTGCACCAAAAACGGCAGTCACCCAGGAAAACGTCGATTGCTGTGCGCAAACTCATCATTGAAGATAGGCATGTGACATATCGCGAGATTGAGGCGTCCTTGAAGATCTCAAAGACCTCAATTCAAAAAATTTTACATGAAAAATTAGAAGTAAGAAAATTAGTTTCTCGCTGGATACCCCACCTGTTGACTGAAGAGCAGAAAGCAGCCAGGGTTATAATTGGTGTCAAAAAACGCTTGACCGTTTCAATTCCGGAAACTCAAAAAATGTGTACAGCATTGTTAGTGGTGATGAATCGTGGCTTTACTATTATGAAGAAAATAAACGACAGTCGCTGTTTGGGTGTTCCAAGGTGAACCCCGAAAGAAGAATCATCCTCCACCAAGACAATGCAAGCTTGCACACAGCCCAAAAAACAAGGCAGTATTTAACGGAAGAAAACGTGGAATTATTGGACCATCCTCCATATAGTCCCGATCTAAGTCGTAACGATTTCTTTACTTTCCCTAAAATTAAAAACAGACTGCGTGGCCAAAGGTTCCAGTCACCAGAAGAAGCAGTTGACGCATTCACTTCCAAGTTTTTTCCTATACATTTTTTGAAGAGTTTTGAATATTTTGTATTGTTTTGAGACGTTGCTTCCTCATAGTTTGCTCGCCCTGTATGTTATATGTACTGTGGAGTATGCCATTTGTTGATTGTTGAAAAATCGCGTTGTTTTCAAACTTCTATTTCTACTTGTGATCATCTCAGATACTCAAGTTAACTTCAGAATCACAAATTACCACCGCAAGTTTAATCTGATTTGTTATTGGCTCTCAAATCCTCTCGTGACCTCTTGAGATGGTCCTTGGGCAAACTGTTGTGTCTCATATTATTCCATCATAAGACAAAGAACATGGTTCACTTAAGGTATCGAAGTGCTATTTCTCGCATTTCAGAACCATAAACAATCCACATGTACTATTTGTAGTCGGAGATTTTATAACAATTAACCGATGTGTTGCGACAATAGTTTTGGGTAGGTTTTAGCGTTTTTTTTTAGGACTTTTGGCGTTTTCGGAACGATAGGCGAAGGTGCCGTGTCTAATACATTAAAACACCGCAGATAACCTCATCCTCGCTTGTCGCTTTGATGGCTGGACGTCCTTGTGGGAGCGGGAATGACTACCATAGGTGGCCCTGGGCTTTGCTGGTTTTGTGCGGTGCCAACTTAAAATTGCAATCATGGCTTCGCGCAACCTCAGCAGGTACAGGACATATGAATGTGAAAAAATTAAAAAAGATACGAAATATTACCTGGACGACACAAAACAACTTATGTTGTCACATAATTGTTAATTTTACTTGTAAAACAGTGGTGGTCGAAACGTCGTACAATAAACAAGTCTAAAAAATATATATGTGGTTATGATTTGGCCAGATGATGGAGTCCTGTGTGTATGGTCGTTAAAATATAACCTAGGCACCAGAAAATGTTTGCTCATGGGCAGTGGTTTGTGATCCGTGATTATCTTTAAGCCATTGCCACTACCATTCATCTTCAACCTAGTAGATCTGCTAGAGTAGAAGTACCAGTATACTCCAACCTCAGATAAAGATATTTTACAGTATAAAACAAAATAGGTAAAACTATTTCCACTGTTGAAAAGCTTACCTCTTTGGTTGGTACCGCCCGAAAACGGTGGTTCCTGGTACTGTTGCTCCATGGTATCTGTGGCACCTGGATATGAAGGATAGGAAGCTTGCATGTTAGAGTCTGCTTCATAGTTTGTAGCAAAAGCTGCGTCTACACCTTGACGGAAACGTTGGTACGCCAAGAAAGCAGATCCCGCCTGTCAAACACGAAAAACGATATTCGTCACTTACTCGTCAACAAATTTCCAAGCTGTTGCTGTTGCTTGTTTAGTGACCCATAAGCATCAGTCTACCAGGTAATGGCATTTGTATAGTGCAAATTGAACAGGATATCTGCGGACAACGAATTCGGGTCTCTACAGGTATGTTCATAAATAGTTTTTGATCATGGCTGAGTTGTTTTTGAAGATTAAAATTTAAAGTAGTGTACTTTCAAGATTTAATAACTCACCCATCCAAACATGGCGAAGAAACAAAAAGCAATGGCAGCTCGTACGTTGCTGACTCCGACTCCATCTGGTGGTGTTACTGACTTGCCCCATGCGTTTGTCAAGTAACAGAATCCAACGAAATACAGGAATGACCAAAATGCTGCAGAAAATGTAAGTGTGAGATAATAAAAATAACTCGTTGGTTATTCCAAACGTTTCTTGTGCAAGTTTTATTCAGATGGTATGAAGATATAATTGGTAAGTTGACCAACAATAGTAGGAATATATAGACTACATTATAGATTAAATTGTTGATTGTTTCAGCAAAGCAGTTTTAGATCAAACAGGAAAAGACTGCCGCAACCCTTGATGTGATGTCAGGTGTGATGGAGGCAATCCACATGTTCTATTTTGTGACCTGAGTAAAGCCTTCAATTGTGTTAAACACGACATTCTTTTGAGAAAAAGGGGCTTGTTATAACTTTTCTCCCAGTAGAATTGCATTGGTTGAGTCCTATCTGCAGTAGAGATTGATGATGTGAGATCTGCAAAGAGGAAGATATTGGTAGGAGTGCCACAAGGTTCTGTCCTAGATCTCATACCCTTTCTCATCTATATTATTGATCTCCCAAATAATGGGTTAATGCCTAAATATACCCCCTTCGCAGATAACACATCAATATACCTTGCAGCTAGCTCTCTGATAGAAGTACAGCAGCAAACAGATGCTGAATTGGAAAACGCCAAAATCTGGTTTTATGTCGTGTGTTTTAAGTTGTGTTCTCTCTATGAGGGAAAATTTTTCAGTGTGACACTTGACCCTAAGCTCCATGGAAAAGCCATACAGCCATAAAACTTTCTCAGAATATTAATATCCTCCGCAATGTGAGAATTTTGATCCCCATAAAGGGTGTTCCAAATTCGACCCTCACCATTGGGATCTCGGAACCTGTGACAGATACGAAGTCGCTTAAACGAGGAGGGCAAAGTTGCTTATTTACGTTATCAACAAAATCGTTTAAATTTTTTCCTAGCTTTATTTGCAGTGGGATTTCAAAATAACTTGCCCATTAATATTGCCACTTTTTCTCCTCTACAAGTTGGCATAATTAGAATTTCAATGTAGCGTTTCGTCTCTTGTCCTCCAGCATCAACTTCATTTTTTCCTATGGACGCCATATTGGATTTTTGCATAGATCAACAGAGTTTTTAATTCTGATTCCAAAAATGTATCATACGTTATGTATTGGCATTGTACAATTTTAGTTAATTCAAAAAAAGCAAAATTTCCCAGGTAGGCATTGAAATTATCAAATTATCATTTGTTTTGCATATCAGATTTATTTTTTCCTGGCTTTATTTGAGATGAGATTTCAAAATAAATTGCATGTTGTCATTGTTACTTATTCTCCTCTACAAGATGGTGTAGTCAAATCTTCAATGCGACATTTCTTCTTCAAAGTTCTATCACCAACTTTGTTTTTCATATAGTTGCTATATTGAAATTTTGTACATTTAAATGGACCTTTTCAGTCCTAAATTCAGAGATGAATTTCTTCAGTTGGGCATGAATTTGTTGCTGTATGAAAATTATGAGGAAATAAAGAGGTATGGTAAAACCTGCACACAACATGAAAATTTTATTGATTGGTAATAGCAATAATAAGCGGAAATAAGCAGAGGTAAGTCATAGCAGATGTTCAAAATGTCCGTTATTATGTAGGCAAAGCCTCACTCGTCTCTGTACACTGATTAATTCATTTCTCATTCGTTCAAACTCGGTTGCTATGTTCAATTTGATGTCTGGTCTGGTATATGAAACAGATGAAATCTAAAAATTTAAAGGCCTACCTAGGAAATCCTATTTTTTTTTTGAAGTAACACTCTATTCATGTGCGCAAAAATCCAATATAACATACATAAAAAAAAATAAAGTTGATGCTGGAGCACAAATGACGAAATATAGATACTCTAATTATCCCACCTTGTAGAGGAGAAAAAGTGGCAATGTTAATCAGCAATTAAAGTCAGGAAAAATTAAAACGATTTTTGGTAAATTCGATTTTTTCCGTCTCTCTCCAGAAATACTTTGAACTTCGAGAGTTGCTAAGCGGTATTGTGTTGATTTCCTAAATACGCAGCTGTGCCCCCATTTAAGCGACTTCATATCTCTTACAGTTTCCGAGATCCCAATGTTGAGGATCAAATTTGAAACACCCTGTATAGTAATAGTAGCAGTATTTTATTCAGCCAAAATACAAACACATGGTTCAAATGGCAAGTAATAAAAAATAATAAACATGTAAAAAAATGTGTTATCTGAAGATACATTCACAAAATATGTAATAATGCGACTGAGGTGTCAGGATGGCCCGGGGCTCAGGGCAATTAAATTTTTTTAAAAATTGCCACTGAATATAAGATCACCGCCTTCAAATGATTTTAAGATTCTTATTTTTAGATCCAAAATGCTTTTTACAAGATTGATGATTTTATTAATATTGATTTTAACATGTTCAAAACTTCCAAGTGTGATGTACCAAGTATGTGGCTTTCATGCTATATGATGAGGCTTTTTTCTTCTGTTATGATGATTTTAAACAGTTTTTTGTATTAGCATGAATAAATGAAATATGAAATTTTTTGGTCACCGCATAATATTGCTTGTTGTTTGTGGTAAAGCCCTTAAATGCCATTTGTTATTACAACTTACCTGAGAAGCCTAGGTCAACCATAACAAAGTGTTTCCGAGTCTTGACAGATGACATCTGTTCAAAGAGGTATTCACCAGCAAGGAAGGCCATGCTGGCCAGAAAGGCAATAACACTGATACCCACTCCATAGTTGCAGGCATTCGTATCATCGTTGTACAGGCACTGTTGCCGCTTCGTCACCTTGTCGTATCGCCATCCTTGTGACGATATGCATCCAAACACTATTACAGCAAACAACTGAAAAGATCACATACATTTTTTCAAAATGAATCATTTATCTTGGTATTTGTTCTTTGATGGCTTACATGGAGAGTTCTCAGTAGTTATATATCAATTTTTTTATTTTCTAAGTACATGAATCTTAAAGCTCCCAGAAAATTAGCGGAACTGAAAACAAACATGTCCATCATAAAAACATAGTTGTTAGGGTCAATTTGATGATTGATTCGAAATATATGCACTTTTACATAGATTGCAGATAAGACAGGGGTTTTTGAAAATTTCTCATCAAAAAACATCAAACTAGTTTAGGATTTTATAGGAAAAAATATCAATTTCCTGAGTTATAACATAGGAATGAAACAGCAACCGCAGCACTTCAGGGCATAAACAAGAATATAACAGAAAATAAATTGTACAGTGCTAGTAAATCTGAGGTGAAAAATAATTAGTTTAACACGTTGACTGCCACCTTTTTTCGGTTGGTTTTTTCCAGGAGCCAATTATATAATGGTTAATTTGTTATTTTGTTAGTATAACTTCTTAAAATCAGTTATTGAGGTATTTTCATATAATGTTTTTTTAATTAGGTCTTTTGTGGCCGACGGCACTGACTTACAAATCGGTTTCCTGTGTGCCAGCTGGCGCTTATAAGAGTCGGAAGATAATTATTTGTTTTTTATGATAGAAATAAACTAAAAGCAAATATTTTATTATTGACCGTTAACAAAAATAAAATATTAAAAATAATTTTTGTAACTCAAAATAGTAGAGAACAACAAAAACTTTTATGGTAAATAATACACCTAATGTGATAAAATCTAATCAAAAATAAGAAATGAAACAACTTTTTTTAATAATACAAACACGAATTTGTGGCGAATGCAGACTATTTTTATGGCAAAAAATAATTTGTGGATAATGTTACTGCGCGGCGCAAGGATCAAATTAACCTCAGATTCGGAATCCACATTCCCATTTTAATCAAAGATGTTTATTTATCGAAATCACAGGTATGAAGGGATTTTTAAAATTTTCTCATAAACTCTCAAAGTACTATGGAGGAAATGTTTACCTTCCATTACTACAAGAGAATGAAACTTGGTATACTTGGTAGCTAAATTAGGACACTGTATTCAAAAATGTTTACCAAAAAATCATGGTGTCATGAGGCTGACTCACTTTTGATAGCTTCACTCTTGCAAAACAGATATTTATTAAATTGAAAAGGTTTGAGGATCAGGAGTTCAAATTTATTTTTGATTTCATTTGAACTCATCCAGCATGGTTTTTGTAAATGCAATAGGACCATGGTTTTATTGAAGGATTTTACAATTGGATATATGGGTAAATTAATTTAACATTTGCTATGTTTACACTGCTCAGTATCAGCCATTGTCTTCAAACAAAGTGAACCTTGTAATAAACAGATAATAAAATACCAAACACACTATTTGTTTTATCCAAATATTGACGATAAACAGCCCATTGCCGTATAATTATAAAGAAATATAAACAGTTTGAAAATCTAGGCCAATCAGTGCTGGGAATACGTATAATACTTTAATTCTGAGTAGGTACCTCCCAAGCACTTGCACAAAATGAGGATGACACGGTTCAAAAACATATTTGAATCGAATATAAATATCTAATTATACTAGGACAGATTCAAATCAACATTCCATATCCTAAAATTGACCTTGCGAGCTAACAATACCAAAGAAATTCGTTCATTTCTGTTGACCCATTTCAAAATTCAAATAATCAATATCCCACATGACACACCCCCCACCACGAAAGCTCCTCAGAATCGATTCTGGAATTTAGTTTTTCTTGAACGAGTGATCATTTTGGGAGCTTGTAGGATGTTTAAAATTTTTGTAAATACTTACCCAACACACGGCCCGCAGGATGACATGGGGCCTTTGAACAAATGTGATAGGGTCGAAGGCTCCACCAGCTTTTCCACCACCGTACGCTCCACCACCCTCCATGTTTTCAGAAATACTGGGGGGGCTGCGTATTGCGACGTTGCCAACGCTGCCTTGTCAAGTAGAGATGTGAAGATACGAATACTGAATATTTTGGTAAGGCCTGGGATCAAATCACCGCAAATGAGTATTCTAAAATTGTTGCGATACCAAGAGATCGTTTTATAAAAAATCGTTTCTTTTGCCCCGTTTGTCTTTCTGTGGCCGACCAATCCAACAACTATCAGTGTGATACGGAAAACATCGCCAATATTTGTTTCTAGCATAAAGTAGATAAAGAAATAATACAAAGACTTCTCATAATCCTAAATGCCCCTTTACCCATTTATCGGCACTGGTATTACGTATCGTGAAAAGTGATATTTCATCGGTTTTTCGACATTTTCTAGGTTTTTTGTCATAACGTACGATTTTTACACGATGTTAACTTGTTAACTCAGCACAACCTGTTTTTCACTTATTATTAACTCGTTTTGTAACTATACGTGTTGCTTTAAACGTCAGCGAACAGCGATCATAGCGAGCAAACATGGAATGAACTATTTTGCACACTAAAAACTATCTAGTCTGCAAGATGACATTTCTTGTTTTTTTTTTGACGTTTTTTAGGTTTTTTATATAATACCCCTGCCGGTGTTGAAGTAAATTTCAAAATCGACAAAAGAACTATATCTTCGGAATGGATTAAAGTACTACCTTAAAATGTTGTACACATAGTACTAACATAGTTAATATATACAAAAACGCTTCGTGTCCATTGGGTAAGACGTCAATGTTCGTGCCGCATACAACACCAGTGGCGTAGATATTGGGCCACTACAGAAGAAAAGAGAAAATTATTTTCTACGCCACTGACTTTTTTAAGCATCTGTTACATTGAATAAGATATATGTTTACATGAATCGCCTCTCTTGAGTAATGTTTGTAAGGCTTTTTTTGGAGAAATATAAATAGTGTAATCCTTATAAAATCTTCAAACTGTATTGAAGATGAGGTTAGACAAGTTTGGATTTAGAAATTGTATGCAGTGTATGTACTAGGAGAGTAATCCTATCTTACCCAAAAATTATTTGAAATATATTCATGTTTTGTCATTCAGCCTACTCATCATTAGTGGCGTATAGAACTGCTCAATACTCCGTGTATCTTGGTAATGGGATATTTTAGGACATGTTTATAGGAACTTATTCTTTATAATCAAATTCAAGCGGATAACCAAATGGAAATGGTATTTACCATTTTGGGTTGGTATTTACCAATCCGTTCAAGCGAGTGTAGTTATCAGTTTGGTTATAAGATCCGTGACGTCACGAATCAGCTGTTATATGTCATAGTTATCACCGCAAAATTGTGGTATTTACCCAACTCAAGAGTAGTTTTATATTTCTGGTTATTATTTGAAATGTGACAAGTTAGAATTTTGCCGGGTATTGGATATTGTTATTGTACTTCAGCTTCATTTTTGAGAAAATTGATACAGGCTGACTTCAGTTTTACCATAAAGTGGAGCACCTTATTAGTGATACTCATTACGGTTGTTGGGGACACTTTAAATGTAGTTCCTATGCTTAACAAAGTATCCTGTGTAGCCATATACAAGAATATTAAAATATGGCCATATAAACTCACTAGATGATATCCACCTGTATACGGTTTTGCTAATTTCTTTTTTCAAAATTTCTGCTGAATCAATAAATGTTTTCTTTGACATGCGGAAAAATTTAGAGAATTGAAAGTTATCATAGCTACAAAGCCATGGTTCCATCATTAAAAAAAATCTGAAAAAAACATTTCTCCCATGAATATTATGAAAGGTTTCTTATTTAAACTTTCCATATGCAGTTGTAGACGAAAAAGCACCGACTATTAAGTGATAATAAAAATAATCAGAGATTATATACGCGCTTTTCTAAAATAAACAACTTGCAACAAAACCGCGGTTAAAACCAACGCGTTCAAGCGGTTCGTGTAACTGACGTCATCAACCCGTGTGTCATTTTGAACCATATTATAACCGCGGCACATAACACAGAAATTTTGGTTATTCGCTTGGATTTGCTTTATGAATATTGCTGTTGTAGTCACCGTTCTTGACGGGTCAAAGTAAGACTCCCAGTATCCCTTTATATATCTCCATCTCCCTCATACATACACGTGCAACCTACTCCTGTGTGTGAACGTTTGTTCGGTAAGCTCAAAGACATACGTTTTTTAGTTGTGTGTCTCCGTCTCGAAAACTTTGTCGTTACGTATGAGCGCCCTCCAATCATATTTGTCAGAGTGGCAGCTTACTTGACATCGATGTGTAATTTTTGAGTTGTCCTGTTATCAGTCTTCAATATACGATTGTACAATGCCCGGAAATACGAGCCGACAGCTCGTGCAAAATTTATTAGAGTACTTCCAGGAAATGAATGAAAACAGCGGTCCCCTGTTACCCAAGATTAGTCTGCGCCCATGGCACGGAGACTCGATCTGTTTACTTATTTCATATGGCTTTGATGAAGTAACCGCCAAGAACGATGACTACAACTATTGTATATGCAGTTAAGCATTAAACTTTAAGACAACATCCTTCCATATAGCTATATGTGTTAGACGATGGCTATTGAACCAAAGAAATATAACCTTTTGTCGAAATAAGTGCATTCTGTATCAATGAAAATCATCTTTTCATCCGAATTTTCATTCAAGTGCAGCTTCTTAGACCCTAGAAGATGGCGACTAACTCATACGAAAACCCTGCCCTCTGTCACAGCGCTTCTTGATAAACGTGATCTATGATCGCGGAACAAAGAAATTCAGGGCACACTTGATTTTGGTGTACTGTGGTGATTTCCATTTTGATTCAAATTGAATAACCAACGGATAATTTTGGTTTTACTAAATTTTCTATTAGTAATAATAATGGACTTCGCCGATCTAAGTGGCAAAGAAAAAAGTACTATTGCTCAGTACTACACTGAAGAACAGTGGCATGAATTACCAGAATGGGAACAGACTAGAAATGTAATACTTTTACAACGATACCTAGCTTTTAAAGATTATGGTAAGTAAAACTTTATCTTTGACGACCGTTTTCCTTGATTATAAGTTTTTATTTGTATCTCCGAATATTGTATGAAGCTTGCTGATTTAAAAACTAATAAAAACAGCACAAACATTGATTCCTATAACAAACTGTGGTAGTGCAGCAATACTTCGAAATAAGGGTTGTGTCTGTGTAATGATTTAGAAAAGTTGTACAATATATAGAGCGGCAATACTATAGCGCGTAAAAACCGAAATTCATGTTTTTTTTGGAAAAAATTTAAGAAATTGGTAGAAACGATAGTTTTTTTAAGCAAAATAGATGTGAAACGGTTTAAAACTAGCCGTGCAATAAGCTAATATACCAGTTAAAAATACATACCGTAAGTGATGGTATTTGCTTGGTACACTGTGCAGAGGTGTTACGTTGTGACTTTTCAATGTTTAAAGTATAGTTTAGCATATACCTAAAATACTATTTATATTTTAATTTTATGACTTTATAGAAGGATTCAATTTTACCCCTCCTGACTTCATGGTAGAGAGACCAAATCTAACTGAGGATGTATCGGTTTCCCACGAGAACAAGCAAGGACAAGGTAAAACTATATTCTTAAAATTTATAAAGAGGCCCTCCAAAAATACAAAAAATCGAGCAAGCAATATACAAAAATTTATAGCTATTTTTATTAAACTGGATAACTAGATTCGCATCATCTCATTTGAGATTTAATATAAGAGATTTTTTAGTGTATTTGCCAATATTGTGTTAACTATGCATGTATATCTTAACTGCTGCTTAGAAATTTGAACAAATCTATATTTTGCATTTCGATAATCATAAAATGGATGCGCTAAGGGAATTCTAGCTAAATGAGACGCTACTATACAGTCTGTTTTAAATTGCTAGTAAACTTTAAGGTTTGATCCCTTGGATAAAAAAATTTAATAAGCCTTGGTCCGATAATATTTTGTTTACAAGACGCAGGATGTCGAACATTTTATATTTTCGTAGTCTGAAATCCACAAACGATCATAGTTATTCATATTACTGGATTTAAAATTAATAAAAAATTTCCTTAGGGGTTTGGGTTTTTTAACGCGCTTTTATTATTCGTTTTCGTTAAGATTTTCTTCATTATCTGAGCACAGAATTATTGATATAAAAATGACTTTCTATATCTTGAAAATGAAACATCATTGGACCTACATTTATGTGAACTTAGTATACCTTTGAAGTTTGGTCAGATGCTTACCCCCTATATAGCTATCACAAACTCAAAATTCATGATAAGCTAAGATTGTAGATTGCTAGAAATTATAAATATAAAACCTAATTTTAATAAAATTATAATTGTTTCATGTTATTACAGTGAACATCAAGGCACCAGAAGAAAAAGGGATTCCTAAGCGAAGAAATGCCCACGATTTTCAAATTCCATCCACTTCCAAAGAAATCGCTCCAAGAAAATATGGCCATAAAAGGGACAATGAGGATTCTAGACAACATGAAGAGGAAGGTAAAGATTTTTTGATGAATTAAGCTGTTCATTATTTATGATTTTTCACTTTTAGTTAAATTTGTAGCCGTTCTTCGAAATAATTTTTATTATTACTATTATTAGCTTTGCGAAGGTGTCAGGGACTAAGCAAAAAAGTCCCGGCAACTATCTTTGGTCTATAATTTTCCTTCAAAATAAAAAAAAGATTCTGTTAGCTTTGCCGGAAAACCAGGCTTAAAGCGACAAGCTCTTCATGTAAACTAAAAAAAAAATGGCGTCAAGTAGATTGACTCTATACCTCCCACGCCTTTGTAACAACTTCTGGTACAATTTTCCATGTAGCGCAATGACATCAAAAAGACGTAGGTTTTGTTAGAGCGAGTAATGTACTATTTGTGCTTGTCCCCAAGTAGCACAGGACAATGGCCGAACATTGGAACAATATTCATATATTGGCACTAGCATTCCAGTCAAACACCAATATCTACCACATATTGGCTAAACTTTGAAAAATACATTAATTGGTTTTCTGTTTTAGCCTATATTGGGCCAACATGTTATGTTGCGATATTGATGGCAGAATATTGGCACAATATTCTAATTGCGTTCGTAAACACAATATTACAGATAAATGTTACCACAATACTGTATTGATAGCGGAAGTACTATACAGGGTGCCTCAACCATGTGTGGACGGAATATTACTCATAAACAAATACATTTTATTTTATACATACCATTTGAGGGCACATTTCTAAAATATTGGCCATTATACAATGATTTTTCAAACGGAATGCCTCAAATTCTATAGCATATTTGGATAAACCAACTCAAAGGAAGAAAATTGATATGATATACTATGGGGTTTTGGTAATCAGCTACTGAGATATATAGTCAACGCCAAACAAAGTGGCGTGCACGTCATCAAGGTGGGTGTGTTGAAAAATTTACATTGTTGCCAAACTTTTTGTAAAATAATAAAATTTATTATTTACATATCTAGGTTTATAAGCAATATTAACCTCAAATGAGAACAAAAATAATAGTATA